AATAACCATAAAAAATAATAATAAATAATTTCTCTGGAGTGCTTTAAATGTCAGCTACCAAACCTATACAAAATACTTATGACATTTAAAGCACTCCAGATCGATTATTTACTATTATTATTTTAAATTATTATAATAATAAATGCTATTTTTGTGTTTTTCTTATGACAAGAGTGATCTAGGAGTGTTTCCCCTGATGTAAACACCGTTTTCTTTCGTTATAGACAAGAGGTACGGACGAGAAAACGTATCTATCTTATGATCTTATCCCAGAGTGGCGGCCTCCAGCCTTACCCCACTCACATAATATGGCATATAGTATATTATTCATTTCAGCGTTTTTATTACAGTTTTAGGGTATTTATTGTGTTTCTGATATCAAGTTGGAATAAATGTAATAGATAAATAACCTTTATTACTAATACGTGTATAAGCATAATTACACAACATTTTATTAGCGCCACGGCTAACATCCAACACCCATGACAACTCGCCAGATACTGAATGCTACTCTTTGCCTCTCCACCTCTCATTCATCTCCTCCCACTTTGTAACAATGTTAGATAGTGAATTTAATGTATTTTTCTGTAAGCTTAACTTGTATGTGTATTTTACTTTTATATATTACAGAAAATAATAATAGAGTTATGCAAATTAAAATAAAGTTATCAAGCTGGAGTTTCATTTTCATTTTATTTTTTTTCTAATATACATATTTAATTCACCATTTGGCATCATTACAAAGTGGGCAGAGCTACAGCAGAGGGAGACGGAGCAGTGTTTCAGTTACTCATGATTCCCCATGACTTAATGTAAGTAAGTAAGTAAGTAAATTTATTCAGGTATACACAATACAGTTACATAGAATTATCATACATAGCAGCATATGTGTAGAGAACCTAGGATAACCCAAAAAAGTCAGACAGAGTGACTTATTTCTCTAAAATATTGTATAATTATACTATTACTATCAAGAAATGTTATCCACCTATCATATTTATTCCAGAATATTAGGTATAACATAAATAACATAGAGGCACGATAAAGACACCCAAATTAATAAAAACTGACATTATATAGAGAGGTATTGAAGGGTGGATGGCGGAGAGATAAAAAAAAAAAAAAGTGACGAGAAAACGTTACATGCCTGAAGGGTAACTATAGAAGATCAGTCTTATCCTATGCAAAAACTGAAAAAAGTACGATTTTCTAAAAAAAAAAAAAAAAAAAAAAAAAAAAAAAAAAGTAATTACCTATGCATACATTTCCTGGAATATCTCGGAAATAAGTCATTGACCTATTTCATGTTGTATTACCACTAATAATAAACAGATTGAAAGGAATTTCCCAACAAACATAAAACTGAAAGTTTTAATTTTGAGTGGACACTTTTGATGTGTCAGTAAGGGGCGAATCCTCGTTTAGCGACAAAATCGTTTACCGACAGGGTCTTAGGCCCCTATCTCCATCGTTAAGTGAGGAGAGGTTGTATATTAAATTTAGGTAAGTCCTTACCAAACAATTTGTAGGAAAAGGTACTTACTACATACAGTTGAACCCCCGTATCCAAATATTCAGGTTCTGTGGTTTCAGTTATCCACAGTTTACCATGCCAGCCCAAAAATATCCCTTAATTTTCCTTAATAATGGCCACAAAGCACAAAAGCAGTGATGACTGCAGTTCTTCAGAGCCTAAGAGAAGTCGTAAAGTGCTTCCCATCAGTGAAATAAATTATAATTCTCCATGACTGTAATTTATCAATTAAACTTTATACATATAGAGTCTGCTACTATCCACAGGTCTTGGAACGTAGCTTCCTAGGATACAGGAGGACTACTGTACTTCACATTGGTATAAAATGGCACATTATAAATAGTAATGAGAGAGGTACCTTTCCAGCATTCAAGTTTCTCCATTTTAATCTATCAAAGTACAATATACAATGACTCAATACACAACCAAGTGGCATGCAATTAATCTTATTCGATTTAATATGAGAGAGAAATATACTTTTACAGTAGTTGCAGCAGCTGGCAAACTCTTACAAAGAACTGAACTACAATATAACAAGGTATTACATTATTATACTAAAAGATTATATTACATTAAAAGATAAAGAATCTAACACAGAGTTGCCACAGTTGTTTTTGGCTGATGACTCTGTGCTTCTGGGAGATTCAGCGACTGGTGGATGAGTTTGGTAGAGTATGTAAAAGAAGGAAATTAAAAGTGAACATGGAAAGAGTAAGGTTGAAGGAAACAAAAATTTTTGGTAATGAAAGATTGAATATCACATTGGAGGGAGGAAGTATGGAGGAAATGAATATATTCAGATATCGGGGAGGGGCCCTCTGTTAGCAGATGGGTCTATGAAAGACCAGGGGGACTTGTAGAATTGATGAGGGAAGGGGAAAGGAGTGCTCAAGAGGAGTCTGTGGAGACTAAGAACTTATCCATGGAAGCAAAGAGGGGAATGTATGGGGTATAGTTATACCAATGCTCTGAAAATGGATGTGAAGCTTGGGTGGTGAATTTGAAACAAAGAGAAGGCTATAGGCAGCAGAGATGTCGGGTTTGTGAAGGCAATGTGGTGTGAGTATAATGCAGAGAATCCAAGTTTGGAAATTAGGAGAAGGGGGCAAGGTTACTAAAAGCATTATCCATGGGACTGAGGAGGGGTTGTCAGGTGGTTCAGACATTTGGGAGAGGGTTTAGAACAAAAACAGAATGATTTGGGGAGAGTGTATAAATCTGTAGTGGAAGGAAGGGGGGGTTTAGATTATTATATTATTATTATTATTATTATTATAATCATGGGGGAGCGCTAAACCCGTACAATTATACAGCATATGTGGGGGGGGGGGGGATGGAAGGTATTCAGGCTCAATTCAGGGAACTGGAGCACAGATACAATTCCCTAGATCAAGAGCCCCTCACCAACACGAGGAACCTCCCTTGAGGGGAAGGTGGGGTAGAGGTTAGCCTAGGAAAGGTTGGAGGGAAGGACAAAGGAGGTTTTGTATGCAAGGGACTTGGACTTCTAGCAGGTGTGTGTGAGCGTGTTAGATAGGAGCAAGCGGAGACAAATGGTTTTTATGACTTAACATTCTGTTGGAGAGTGAGCAAACATTTATGAAGGGATACAAGAAAACCGGCAAGCAGGACTTAAGTCCTGAAGGTAGGAAGTACAGTGCCTGCACTCTGAAGGAGGGATGTTGATATGTTGCAGTTTTTTAACTGTAGTATAGGTGTGCCTCTGGAAAGACAGTGATGGAGTGAATGATCATGAAAGTGTTTCTTCTTTTTCAGGTCACCCTGCCTTGGTGGGAGATGGCCAGTGTACTAATAAAAAAATAATTATTATATTAACAATTTAGAAAACTGACAATGAACAAGACTATGTTGGCAACATTTGTGATTAGGTCATCAAGGCTGATGGACTGAACAACATATCTGTTGGCTGCGGGACTGATTACCTCAAAATCCCTCTTTGCATGTTCTACCATTTTCCTCTCTATTGGACTAATAAAGATATCCAAGTGTTGCATATACAGTGGACCCCCGGTTTACGATATTATTTCATTCCAGAAGTATGTTCAGGTGCCATTACTGAACGAATTTGTTCCCATAAGGAATATTGTGAATTAGATTAGTCCATTTCAGACCCCAAACATGCATGTACAAATGCACTTACATAAATACACTTACATAATTGGTCGCATTGGGAGCTGATTGTAAACCAGAGGTCCACTGTATCTTATTTATGTGAAAAGTAGTACAGTATTGGTTTGCATACCAGGTACAAATGTCAGATGAATGGTACGGAGGAATTTGTGTCCATCTTTTTTAAGTCGTTTGAGAGCCTCCAAGTACTGGATACCAACACATTTCATATCTTGGGTTCCTCGTCCATAGATGTCCCCATTTTCATCCTTGTGAGCACTGAAAGGGTCATATTTCCAGTAGTCCTGCAAGAAAATGTTTATGCACATGAAACAAACGACTTTATTTAGAATACATTAAAATACAATATAGTATATAGATACTAATATTTAAAAGAAACAAAGAGAAGCAGCTTACAAGGAAATACTGGGACAACATCAGTATGTGAATTGAGGAGAAGTGACTGCAAGTCGGGTTGTTCTCCTAACAGTGTCATGATAACTGCTGGTTTACCAGGTATGCACTCAACTACCTGGAACTCAGCCTCCAGGTCTTTGGCCTGTTTTTGTAAATACTCCGTACAACTAGCTGCAAATAATAAGAGAAAAAATAATAAGCTGGAAAGAAACTTATCTAATTAAATCTAATGCTCTAAATAATCTTGGTTTTCTTGAAACTCATCAAAGGTATATGAAAGGAATACTGTACTATACTTTCTCATACAGCCTCTCCTCACTTAACAATGGTGTTCCGTTCCTGAGGCCACATTAAACGAATTCGTTGCTAAGTGAGGAGCATACTAAAATGGTAGCGAGTTTGTGTCAATCATCTTTCATGTTGTTTTAACCCTTTCAGGGTCCGTCCCATAGATCTACAGCTTCATGTTGAGTGTCCAAACCGTAGATCTACGCCAAAATTCTAGCGCCGTCAAATTTAGAGCAAAAGCGCTCATAGGCCTACATGCGAGAGAACGGGTCTGCATGGTGGGTGTGCGTCATAAACAAAAAATCTAGGCGCCCGCATAGCATTGTGGGAACGCCATCTCAGTTACCCTTGTTCACCATGCCTCGTCGCAAGTCAGCTCTCACTCCATGGAAAATTGGGACTCTCCTCTTCCTATCTGATAGTTCTGACACTGATGGAAGTGGAAATGAAGACGAATTCTTTGGCTTTGATCAGTTAGTGACCGAAAGGAATGACCAGGATATCGATAATAGTGCAGAAAACCCTGACGATCCTCAACCTTCTACCTCTGGTGTGGGCACTCGTCAGTCACGGTCAGTTGTACCTCAACGCAAGAGGTGGCCAGGCCTCTAACTTCAGTAATGATGATGATAGTGACGTGGATTGTGATTTTATTGCGCTTGACGATCATTCAAGTAGTAATAGTGAGGAATCATATTCACCAGTGAAGCGTCGGTATGTACGCCACCGCATGCGCTCGGGTAGTGTACCCTATGCTGTGCCCAGGGGACGGAGTACATCCCGGAGTACATCCGTGGCCCTACACCAGGTTTAGATAGTGATAGTGAGGATGATGTGGCTACACTTGGCACGGATAGACCACAGGCATCAGCAGATGGTGGTAGTGGTGATGGTAGTGGCACTGCCATACGTGACTCACCAGCCCAGGCTGGGACCCATGCTGCTGACTCCTCAGTTCAAGGACAAAGTGGAGCGTCAGCCACCAGCCCACCACAACCACAACCACCCGCACAACCAGCCTATGATGTCCAGTATCCACCAGCAAACCGTATCTGGGATTGGCAGCAAAATCCCAATTTTGTTCCCAAGCCCCACCACTTTGATGACGCTTAAAGTGGAATTCTACCTACCTGTCCCCTTGGAACCATGGCCAATGAACTGGAATTCTTTGAATTATTCTTTGACCAGCCACTGATGGAAACTATTGTCAGGGAAAGTAATAAGTATTTTGACTACACCATGGCAAATACGATCATATCACCAGTCAAGACTACACCGGTGGAAAGAGACGACTGTTGCAGAAATGTATTTGCTTTTTGCAACAATAATGCTTATGCCTCATGTCTATAAGCATAATATAAAAGCATACTGGTCCACAGATCGGCTAATTTCTACCCCGATCTTCAGTGAAATCATCCCAGTGAACAGGTTTATCTTACTGTTACGTATGTTGCACTTCTCTGACAAAACCAGGCCTGACAGAAGTGACAGGTTATACAAGATTAGAAATGTTTTTATGTATCTCAAACAAAAGTTCAGCATATACTTTTATCCATTCAAGAATCTTGTAATTGACGAGTCTTTGATTTTGTTCAATGGTAGACTGTTATTCAAGCAGTATATACCGAGCAGGAGGAAACGCTTTGGTATAAATCTGTTTGTACTCTGTGACTGTGACAGTGGCCTGGTGTTGGATATTGTTGTATACATGGGAAGTAAAACACTGAAAGATACCAAGATGTTATTGGGTATCTCAGGTGACGTAGTGAGAAACATGATGGCACCTTATCTTGGTAAGGGGCATACATTATATACCGATAACTGGTACACAAGCCCATTACTCAGTGATTTCTTGCGAGTGAACAAGACAGATGTGTGTGGCACAGTGCATTCTAATCATAAACATATGCCCAGGCTCAACGCAGGTGCTCGTGGTGATGACGTGCAGGTGTTTACTGCCAATGACATCATGGCATTACGGTGGCATGACAAACGAGATGTCACATTGTTGACAACCATTCACCGTAATGAAATGCAAGACAGTGGCAAAGTTGATCGAGTGCCTAATGAACATATTCGAAAACCAGTGACAATGATTGATTATACACAACATGCGCTTGGTTGACAAATGTGACATGCAGATTGGTTTTCTCGATTGTGTTCGTAAGAGTTACAAGTGGTACATGAAACTTTTCTTCCATCTCATGGACATTTCAATGCTCAATGCATATAATATGTACCAAATAAAGACTGGCAACAGACCACCGTATGGTGAATTTTGTTTGTCTGTTGTCAGACAACTCATAATGAAGTACCAGGTAAGAACACCTGCTATACAACAAGGCCCTCGAATTCCTCAGGATATACCCAAGCGTTTGAGGAGGGAAGGTGATCATTTCATAATACAGCTTCCTTCAACTCGGAAGAAATTTGCTCAGAAGAGATGCATCGTCTGTGCACAAACAAAACGACGGCAACAAAGACGCAAAGACACTCGGTTTTGTGTGAGGAATGTAAGGTTGCCTCTGTGCATGGTGCCTTGTTTCAAGGAGTTCCACAAGCTCCAGCAGTTCTAAAACCATGTCCAGTGATTGTAAATATGTAAATATATGATAGAGCATTAGTATTATACAAGATTTGTGCATGTTTATTGTAATAAACAACAGTGGTAAACAATAATATGATAATAACTTTAGTGCGGTTATTATGTTCAATACAGTGAGTTTATATATATACATTATATACAGAATTGGTCTCTCAGGCCCCAAATGTTAGTAGGAAAAGAAAAAAATTGGAAAAGAAAAGAAAAAACTACAAAAACTGCTAAATAAAGTAATGTGCGTATGTGGAATTCGTCGATGTTGCCGCCACCACATCATTTTGGACAAACTTCTTGGCACTATCTCGGTAAGTACTGACCAGAATTTTTTTTTTTTGTCTTATTACCTTCACAAAAATATGCTCTTTAATTCTGTAAGAAAAAAAAAATGTTTTTTTTTTCAAAATTTCTTGGACACTGGAGCACCACTTCAGATTTTGGCCTTGGACCCTGAAGGGGTTAATGTCACCTTTACACCATTTATTACATTTCTGGTATATTTTTTAAATGTTTATAGTAGTGTACTGTATATTGAAATAAAGATAGAGGAAATCAGCTCTAATACAGTATATATATATTATTTAGGTAATACATGTACTGGTTAGAGAGTCTGTCATAAGTCCAAGGCGTTGGTAAACGAGTACATCGCCAAGTGAGGAGAGGCTGTATACTGTATTAAAAATAGGACAGGGTATTACCATTTGTGAAGAAACAAGTGACTTTAAATTAATATACACGATATAAAAAATTCATTACTTTAAAATATTATTTGGTTTAATATGACAGTCGACTATAGCAAAGATAAACAATTGCTGCATAGCAACACTGCATCTTTTCTTTGATGAATAATCTAATGTTATTTCATAACCTGAAGTAAACTGAATCAGTGACATTTTAGACCAGCAAAAATCACTTCAATAACTTTCTAAATTTTTTATTTAAAAAGTGTATTAGTCTGGACATAGAAAAAAAATTACCTTCATTGCTAACATATATCCCATGCCACAGCTTCATCATACAATTATTATTATTATCACAACTAAGCTAAAGGTGTATCATCATACAGTTATGTATCTAGTTAATGCAATGTGAAAATTTCAGGTCTGATATTAAGAAAACCATAGATGGCAGTTAATTTAATCTGGCTGATGCAAAGTGTGGATACCATCTCAAGGTTAAGATAAGATAAGATAAGATTTCGTTCGGATTTTTAACCCTGGAGGGTTGGCCACCCAGGATAACCCAAGAAAGTCAGCGTGTCATCGAGGACTGTAACTTATTTCCATTGGGGTCCTTAATCTTGTCCCCCAGGATGCGACCCACACCAGTCGACTAACACTCAGGTACCTATTTGCTGCTAGGTGAACAGGACAACAGGTGTAAGGAAACGTGTCGAAATGTTTCCACCCGCCGGGAATCGAACCCGAGCCCTCTGTGTGTGAAGCGGGGGCTTTAGCCACCAGGCCATCGGGTCACCACCCTTACTGACTCTGCTTCTTGCATACTCCTAACCATCACTGGTCAAAGAGAAGTCAGATTTTTTAACCCTGGAGGGTTTAGTACCCAGAATAACCCAATAAAGTCAGTGCATCATTGAGGACTGTGTCTTATTTCCAGTGGGGTCATTCAATCTCGTCCCCCAGGCCCCTACTCATACCAGTTGGCTAACACCCAAGTACCTACTTACTTGATAGGTGAACAGGACAACAGGTGTAAGGAAACAAGCTCAATGTTTCCACCCAGCTGGGGATTGAACCACGGACACTCAGTTTTGTGAGGAGAGAGTGGTGCTTACCATGCCGCAGTATGGACCCTTGTGGCTTAAGCACTTGGTTTTTCATTGTAATAAATATTATAATAATAATAATAATATCTTATTTCTACAAGTACATGTACAAGGTACAGTCCTAGCTGACATCATGATATGCTACTACAAAGAAGCCACTTGTTATGCAGAGCATTTTGGACAAATTAGGTCAGTTTTGTCCCAGGATGCGACCCACACAGCTGACTGACATGCAGGTACCCATTTTACTGATGGGGACATAGACAAACCGGTGTAAAGAAAACACGCCCAATTTTTTCTACCCTCGCCGGGAATCGAACCCAGACCCTCGCCGTATGAGGCGAGAGCTTTAGCCACCCAGGCCACGGGGCTATGATGTGTAGACAAGGAAGAGTTAATCTCAGGTGTATATCACCATTATATACGGGAAAGTGACGGGGAATTGGGGATCATTAGACTTGACCCACAGGGTGAGAAGCTCACTAGCATTAAGACATGCCTAGCAAATGACCACTGCCGGGTATTATTATTAGGCTTCAACTTTTGAAATCGTAAAACTGCTTCACATAGTAAATTATGAAGAATTTAGCTGAGAAAAACTCGAAAAAAAAGACATTGGCAGTAATGTTCCATATAATATTGTAGAGTACTGTAATAACTTTTTATTTCCAATACTTGCTTGTAACTGGAGTAAAATAAGCCATCCTGAGATTCAGCATCACCATATTATTATTATAATCAAGGGGGGAAGTGCCTAGGGGGGGCATGGAAGGTATTTAGGCTTAATTCAGGTAACTGGGCACAGATCCAATTCCCTAGATCAAGAGCCCCTCACCAGCTCAAGGCACCTCATTGAGATGGCAGCATCGCCAAAGTATGTATATCAGGTACAAATACACACATGTACAATTTCATTTATAGTAAACAGATGTGTAAAATACATAGGACAACCCAAAAAAAGTAAGTGATTTATTTCTATTATTATAACGTTAGTGCAAGTGATAAGTCACTGTGTCAGACTTACTGGGAGGGTTATCCTAGGTAATCTACATTAATATGTATGATTATTTGTGTAATTTGTAGTTACGCGATAGCCCTTGTGGTTTAGCGCTTCTTTTTTTATCATAATAATGTAGTTACGCGTACCTGTACCTAAATAAACTTACTAACAACTTTATTTCAGCATGATACAATGTACATAGATGTGTATTATTATTATAATCATGGGGAAGCGCTAAACCCGTAGGATTATACAGCGCCTGGGGGGGGATGTGGAAGGCATTCAGGCTTAATTCGGGGAACTGGAGCACAGATCCAATTCCCTAAATCAAGAGCCCCTCACCAACATCAAGGAACCTTCCTTGAGGGGATATAGATATATAATATTCAGTTACTCATGCAGAAAGTCCATAGTAACGCTGATAATTTTTATTTAATTTTTATTTGATCATGATGATGTAGTAACAAGTCTTACCATAGTCAGGATGAGGATGAACCGTCTTTATCTTTATGTAGTTGCGGAAATTGGTAACGGCTGGATTTTCTTGTTCAGTCATCATTAATGGTGTCAGCCTGAACTGGTCACTACAATAAATTATATAATTTAGCTTCTGTTGGATTTCAGAGCCACTGACAGCATACGCAGTATCGAGCCCGCGTGCTGGGGGTGTGAAGGGCCACTGACAGCAGTGTTTTGTTCCACTTCAACGTGTCCTGACACACAGATGTAAAATTATCCTGGATTATCCTGGGTGGCTAACCCTCTAGGGTTAAAAATCCGAACGAAATCTTATCTTAAACCCTTTCTATCTACCTACCGTAGCATTTGAAAAATAGTAATAAAAATAATATCTATTTCTACAAGTACATGTACAAGGTATACAGTCCTAGCTGACATCAATGACATAACTATATAGAAAACAGATTATTATAATAAAAAAGAAGCGCTAAACCACAAGGGCTATACAGCGGGTTTGTTATGCAGACCATTTGGGGCAAATTAGGTTAATTTTATCCCCCATGATGCGACCCACACCAGTCGACTAACATCCAGGTACCCATTTTACTGATTACCTGGAGTTTACCTGGAGAGAGTCTGAGATCAGGCCTCACGGTGGATCAGGGTCTGATCAACCAGGCTGTTACTACTGGCCGCTGGGTGAACATAGACAACCGCTGTAAGGAAACACGCCCAATGTTTTCACCCTTTCCGGGAATCAAACCCGGACCCTCGCCGTGTGAAGCAAAAGCTTTGCCTACCAGGCACGAGCAAACCTCGAGTAAGATAGGATTTTTCGGACTTTTAACCCCAGAGGGTTAGCTACCAAGGATAACCCAAGAAAGTCAGTGCGTCATCGAAGGACTGTCTTATTTCCTGGGGGTCCTTAAATTTTCCCCCCGGATGCGACCCACCCAGTCGATAACCCCCGATACCTATTCGCAGGTGATCAGGGGCGCATGTCAAGGAAACTGTCTTGGTTTTCATCTTTACAGCCAAAACATCAACTACATTATTGGAGGTGTTTTAGTAATTTCAAGAGCAAATTAGCAACTGACACACAGGCCCAACCTCCTTCCCCTTGTTGCCCATTAAAAAATAACTGTCACATGTGAATAAGTTACAATCAAAGATCCATGCTATTGTTGATCCCAAGGTGATCTATACTGGCGAGTCTCTTGAAAGCTACATACACTGCATTTCACTCTGTGAGCAGTCTACAATGAAAGGGTTTTTTGTTGTTTGTTGATGGCTTTAGACCCTGTAAATTGCAAAGAAAAATGTTATTGTACTGATGGAATGTAGGGGGCTTTGCTTCCTGGCACAAATACTGTATCTGTGTATTGGATGGAAGCCACTGGACTTACTAAATGACTGCAGAGGAACCCTAACCTTATGTTGTTCCAAGTAATGACATTTTACTCTTATGATAACCATTGAACTTTTTTTTTTTTTTTTTTTTTTTTTTGTGTGTTAAACAAGTCGGCCATCTCCAACCGAGGCAGGGTGACCCAAAAAAAAGAAAATCCCCAAAAATAAAATACTTTCATCATCAATCAACTCTTTCCCCTCACTCACAACATAATCATTGATTTTTTGCAGAGTGCACAGGAACACAACCAGCTTAGAAGCATATATTTTTTTTTATTATCACACCGGCCCGATTCCCCCCAAGGCAGGGTTGGCCCGAAAAAGAAAAACTTTCAAACAATTTCACCAACCCTTCACTCCACCATGTCATGCCAGAAGTGGTGCTTAACCCTACAGTTTAAACTGCATCATTAACACCCCCCCTTCAGAGTGCAGCACTGTACTTCCCATTCTCCCAGGACTCAGTCCGCCAGCCGGTTGTCCCTGAATCCTCCTTCATAAATGTTACTTTTTGCTCACACCCAACAGCACGTCAGTATTAAAAACCATTTGTCTCCATTCACTCCTATCATACACGCTCACGCCATAATATGGGTGCCTGCTGAAGTCCAAGCCCCTCGCACACAAAAAGACCTCCTTTAAATACCCTCCCTCCAACCCTTCCTTAGGCCCGAACCCTACCCCGCCATCCTTCCACTACAGACGATACCACCCTCTTTGAAGTCATTCTGTTTCGCGTACTCATTCTCTCTACATGTCGACCAGCCTCAACAAACCCTTATCCTCTCACCCTCTGACAACATTTTGGTAATCCCGCCCCTCCTCCAAACTTTCCAAACTACGAATTCTCTGCATTATATTCACACCTACACATTGCCTCAGACATGACATCTCCACTGCCTATGGCCCCCCAGCCATCGACCTCGCATGCAACATTCATCACCCACGCTTCACACCCAAAAAAGAGCGTTGGTAAAACTAAACTCTCCTCCATTCCCCCTCTTTTGCCACCAAGGACAAAGAACTTTGTCTCCACAGACTCCTAAGTGCACCACTCACTCTTTATCCCTCATCAATTCTATGTATTCCACCTCATCTTTCATAGACCAACCGCTAGACACGTCCACATCCCCAAATATCTGAATAACGTTCACCCTCCTCCATACTCACACTCCCCAATCATGATAGTCAATCTTACATCACCTAAATCTTTTTGTTATCCTCATAACCATACTCTTTCCTGAATCACCTCTTAATTTTCTTCTTTTCACACCCTAACCAATTCATCCACCAATCTCTCAACATCTCTTCAGAATCACCCAAGAGCACAGTGTCCCATCAGGCAAAGAGCAGCTGTTATCAACTCCCACTTTGTTGTGGTGATTCTTTATCTTTAAACTCCACGCCTCTTGCCAAGACCCTCGCATTTACTTATCCCTCTATACAACCCCAACTATATAAATATATTAAACAACCACGGAGACATCACACATGCCTTGTCTAAGGCCCTCTACTATAACTGGAAAAAATTTCCCTCTTTCCTACATACTTAACGTTGAGCCTCACTATCCTCGTAAAAACTATTCAACTGCTTTCAGTAACCTACCTCCTACACCCGATACACTTGCTACATCCTGCCAACAATGCCCCCCTATCCACCCTGTCATACGCCTTTTTCCAAATCCATAAAGCCACAAAGACCTTTTAGCCTTATCTAAATACTTTCACTATATGACTTTCACTGTACATATACTGTACATATAAGAGATACACAACTAATCCCTCCAAACTGCCAATATCCCAAACCCCTCCTTAGATTGCAGGCATTGTACTTCTCCATTTTCCAGGACTCAAGTCCGGCTAAATAAAAAAAACCGGTTCCCAGACTCCCATCACTAAATATTACCACTGCTTGCACTCCAACAAGATCGTCCGGACCCAAATACTCATTTCGTCGCGCGCGCACTTCTCTCCATCGAACACGCTCACAGCACCACCTGCTGAAAGTCCAAGCCCCTCGCCCAACTAAAACCTCCCTTACCCCCTTCCTTCCAACACCTTTATTGAGGACGACCCCTACCCCCCCGCCTTCCTTCCCCTACAGAGTTTATGCTATTCCATTTCATTCTACTTTGATCCAATCCTCTAAATTACCAACCACCTCAACCCCTCTTCAGAGCCTCGACCTAAATTACTTCATTAACTCCACACACCTTCCTACTAATTTCCACACCACGAATTTTCCTGCATAATATTTACACCACACATTCCCCTTAGACAGGACACTCCACGCCTATCCAACCGCCTCCTCGCTGCGGTATTCACAACCCACGCTTACACCCATATAAGAGGTGTTGGTACTACTGTACTTTCATACATTTCTCCACACTTCTTTTTGCCTCTTAGAAAATGTCTTTTGTCTCCACATAATACCTCAACGCACCACCACGCCTTTTTTTTTCCTCATCAATTACCATGATTTAACCCATTCCTCCTAAATCTATGGTAATTAATTTCTTATGAACAAATGACTCACTATGGACTAGACAGTGAGGATGCATGAAGTGGAACAGAGTTTCAACCGGTAGCTGGATTTACCTTAGATATCATCATGCATCCTGACTGGAAACGAAAGAGTATGACACTGATACCAAAGTTCCAGGAAATGATGAAGAATACTCTAATGACCAATGAGACGAAACCTTGAACATTGTTACCTGAAAAGAAACGAGACAGTTATTTAACATAAGAAAAAGCGTGTGGCGCAAAAGACTTAAGTTTGTTTAGTGGTTGTTGGAACCAATTACACCGAGGATGGCAAGAGATAGACTAACTGGACATAGAAGGACACACGAAATGGGTAAAAATAGCAGAACATAGATATTGGAAAAATTAAAGAGTAAATAAGGAACACATTAAATTCATTTACATTGGTTCTTATGGGAAAAAGAAATCCTAGAGTACCAGATAAAAGGCTCACAATCAAATTTTTGGTGACAAACAATATCATAATTTGGAGCTCTTATACTATATAGTTTTACTGTATACTGAAAATTCCATATGAAATAAACAATGATAGAACCACAGTAAACAAGTAATGCAATAAATCATTTTATATTTCATGATTACAATAATAAAATAGTCCATTAAATTACATTGTTTCAAAGTAGCAACAGCTTTCACAATACATGAACTATCATCAAAAATAATTAACAATCCCATTTTATATACAATATATACTTCCTTGCAAACTTTTATATATATACTGAAAAAATAATATTTTCAGGCATTTACCACAAAGTTCAAGACAAGCCCAACTATGATGCAAGCTGCTGGTACTCCTCTCCGTTGCAAAGTTCTTGACAAACCCAGCAATGATGCAAGCTCCTTCACATAACACAAAAAACAAGGGTTACATGGACCTGACGATCTGTTTGGGTGTTCAAGGAAGACAGGTGGTGTTACTCCCCTTCCGGGCGCCAAAGAGTTTTAAAAATGGCTGAGCAGCAGAACAGGACAGGAGGACAACAACACTACACAACCCCTCGCTGAATGGAATGAGGGAGGGATTTTGAAGGATAAAAACCACTGAATAAACTTTCTGGTCCCTACCAGAATGGAAAGGAGTTTAGAAAGTTCATTGTGAATCAGACTGTGAAGTGAGGTGGGTAGGGGATGGTAGAATAAGGGGTAAATGGTAAGGGAGTTGGTGAAGTTAAGGAAAAAGTGAAGCAGTGAAGAGGGTTTTGAAAAGGTCAACTGTAAGGTTTTTGTGAAGTATAAGGGAAAAGTGGAGCAGTGAAGAGGATAGTTGAAGAAGGAAAT